CAGGGAGGAAAAAATTAAACTGAAAAAAAAATATGATATACACTGATATTTTCCACTATTTGACCTTTTTAACATTTAGTATCTTTAGTATTTTTAATAATGAGAAATTAAGCTTACTGTTACAAGCATGAGGCAGAATGGCTGAGATTATGCTTTTACTTTCAAAAATGTCTGCTTTGTGATTAATGATTAATGAATCTCGGGCCGGCGCCGTGGCTCACTAGGCTAATCCTCCGCCTAGCGGCGCCGGCACACCGGGTTCTAGTCCCAGTCGGGGCACCGGATTCTGTCCCGGTTGCCCCTCTTCCAGGCCAGCCCTCTGCTGTGGCCAGGGAGTGCAGTGGAGGATGGCCCAGGTGCTTGGGCCCTGCACCCCATGGGAGACCAGGAAAAGCACCTGGCTCCTGGCTCCTGCCATCGGATCAGCGCGGTGCGCCGGCCGTGGCGGCCATTGGAGGGTGAACCAACGGCAAAGGAAGACCTTTCTCTCTCTCTCTCTCACTGTCCACTCTGCCTGTCAAAAAAAAAAAAAAAAAGATTAATGAATCTTTCTAATATCTTACTTTCTTTTATTTTTAAGTAAGCCCCCTCTACTCTTTTTTCTATTTATCGGTTTTAATTTGAAAGACTGAGTTAGAGAGAGAGGTAGAGAAAGAGAGAGGTCTTCCATCTGCTGGTTCACTCCCCAATTGGCCGCAACGGCGAGAGCTGTGCCAATCCGAAGCCAGGAGCCAGGAGCTTCCCCTGGGTCTCCCACATGAGTGCACTTGGGCCATCTTCCACTGTTATCCCAGGCCATAGCAGAGAACTGGATGGGAAGAGGAACAGCTGGGACTAGAACCAGCGTCCATATGGGATGCCGGCACTTCAGGCCAGGGCTTTAACCCACTGTGCCACAGTGCCGGCCCCTCTAATATCTTAGTTTCTAACATCTTTATTAATGTGTATTTTCAGTTACTCTGCAAGGATTTTGGGGGAAACATTAACAGTAACTTTGAACCATTAGGTAAAATTGTGAGGACTCAGACATACAAAAGTAATATTTGTAAACATATGTTCACAAATAGTTAAACTGTGGAAGTCCCTAGTGAACAAGAGAAAATTGACATTCATTCAGGGCAGAAAAGTGTTTGCAAAACAGAAATTTTCAGCAAATACCTCAAAAGTGAGCTAACAGTAAGAGCTAAAACAATTAGAACATAATGTAGAAAAAGAACTGGATTTGTCAAGGAGCTGACACTCAATTAATGCTATAGTTGAATGGAGGAAAGGGCTTATACCCATCTTGAAGTTGGACTACTAAGTAGATGAAAAGAACCTAGGTTGATTCTAAGGGGATGGATGTTTGGTTGACATTTATTCATTATGCTTGTATAAAACTGCTCATAAACAAAAATACAAAGGGAAGGGTAAGTAAGACATTTATCAATACAAACTGGTAGAAGTTGGATTACAGTAGTGATAATGGAAAGAAATCATTCACATCATTGGATAAATTCATTCCAAAGTATTTAAATTTTCACTTAAAATATTCTAGAATCTAAGTTTACAAACTTTTATGAGCTAATTTATTTCTTAAAAAATCAGAAGACCACTAAAACACAAAAGAAATATTCACAACTGGTATATAAAGAATTATAAATTAATGGCAAATATATATATATACATATATATTTGATCCAATTTTAAACGAGGTATAAAACATTGGAAAAATTACAAAGTAAATAGGAGTGCAAATACACACGAACACCAAAATTTGAAGGTTTTCTTATAAATTAACAGTCTAATCTCACAGATTTCTCTCTAGCTATTTACCCAAGAAAAATGAAAATATGTCAAAATAAAAATTTATATGCAAACATATACGGTGATTTCTTTTGAGGAATAGACTTTTTAGGATTTGTTGAATATTTTGGCATATTCACTTCAAATGTAGACATTACATACACACACATCAATACTATTTTTTTTTCCCCTGAAAACATAGTATCCCAGGGTGAGGGATTCACGACAATGATAATTTGGGAAAAGAAAAGTGTATTGTCATTTACACCGTATGATTCAGTGAAGCACAGTTATAGCTGAGTGCCAAACGGTATGACAGCCACATAATTATTACCCAATCTCTACACATTAACTTCCACAAAAAAGAGAATATGTGGTATTTATCTTTCTGGATTTAGCTTCTTTCACTTAGCATAATGATCTCCAGTTGCATTCATTTTGTTGCAAATGTCAGGCTTTTATACTTTTATAGTTGAGTAATATTCCATAGTGTATATATGCTACATTTTCTTTTTTTAAAGATTTATTTATTTATTTGAAAGAGTTAGAGAGAGAGAGGGCGAAACAGAAAGATCTTCCATCTGCTGGTTTGCTCCCCAAATGGCCACAAAGTTCTAAGCTGGGCTGATCTGAACTCAGGAGCCAGGAGGTTCTTCTGGGTCTCCCATGTGAATGCAGGGGCCCAAACACTTGGGCCATCTTCTGCTGCTTTCCCAGGCCATAGCACAGAGCTGTGTCGGAAATGGAGCAGCCGGGACTCAAACCAGAGACTATATGGGATACTAGCACTGCAGGCGGTGGCTATACCCACTACACCACAGCACCGGCCCCCACATTTTCTTTATAAAATCATCAGTTGATGAACATCTAGTTGATTCCATATATTTGCTACTGTGAGTTGAACATCTATAATTACAGGTGCAGGTAGCAATTCATATGCTGATTTCATTTTCTCTGGAGTGCAATAGTGAGTCATAATGATAGATTCATTTTAGTTTTCATAGAATCTTTATAAATATTAACAACAAAAATTAACAACAAAATAAAAAAGAGAACTATGGGCCAACACAGGTGCAAAAATCATCAAAAACATACTATCAAATCAAATCCAACATATCAAAAAGATCACCAACCCAGACCAAGTAGGATTTATCCTAGGGATGTTTCAACATATGCAAATAAATAGACACATTACATCACATCAATAAAATGAAGGAGAAAAACCATGTTTCTCAATAGATTCAGTCAAAGCATTTGATAAATCATAAAATCTTTTCATAATAAAAAACTTTAAAAATTGGGTATAGAAGGAACATATCAACATAATACATATATAAGAAACCTACTACAAGCATCATATTGGATGAAGAAAAGTTAGAAGCATTTCTACTAATAGATGGAAATACACAAGGATGACATTTCTCACTACTATTATTCAATATAGTTCTGTAAAATTTATGCAAAACCATTAGGCTAGAAAAAGAAATTAAAGGACTACAACTTGGAAAGCAGGGAGTCAGATTATCCCTGCAAACAGATGAAATGATCCTTTATACAGAGGAATCAAAACATTCCACTAAGAGAATATTTGAATTTAGAAGAGACTGGCAAAGTTGCAAGATATACATCAACATACAAAATCAATAGAATTCTTATATACCAACAACATTCTTTCTGAAAAGAATTTATAAGACCAAATTCATACTAGCTACAAAAATTTTAAATACCTTGGAATGAATTTAACCAATAATGTGAAATATCCCTATCTCGAAAATTACAAAACATTGAGAAATAGAAGATTACACCACAAACGGAGAAATACTTCATGCTTGTGGATTCGTAGAAACATTATCAAGATATCCATAACACCAAAAGCAATTTAGAGATTCAGTGTGATAACAAAAATTCCAGGAGCAATCTTCATGGAAGTAGAAAAAAATGATCCTAAAATTCCTAAGGAAGCACAAAACCCCTGGATAGCAAGCAACATTAAACAATAAAACACACAGCTACGGATATCACAATACCAGATTTTCAGACATACTGCAAGACTGTTAGCATCAAAAACTTGGCATGGCACAAAAATAGACACATAGGCAAATAGAGAGAGAGAGGTTTGTACACAAAACATAAACAATCCAAATGTCCTTAGCTATCATTTTCATCACTATGAAACACTGCTCTCTAAGAGTATGAGTAAACACTAGCATCTTTATTAAGTTAAAGTTCATATAAGCTGTTTTCAGATTTTGTCTATAAACAAAAGCAACTCATAACATTTGTATCAAACTAAAAAGTGTACTAAAATGTGGGATATGCAATAATTATTCCTCAGTAGCCTAATACAAGGTTAGCTTTTCATGAGGAATAGAGTAATTTAAAGCATTAATATAAAGGCCTTGTTCTTTAGAATTTTCTAGTGATCAAATTAATGAGAACTGCATGTCTTGCACTTAGAAATAACTCTTCACAAATGGAGGGAAATGAAAGGAAATGAAAAAGAAAAGCCGATATTCAATTTTACATGGTAAAATGAAGTTCAGTGGTGACTATGGATTTTACACATTAGAGTTTACTGCAGCTTGGAACAGTGTTATTAACAACACATACTGCCTACCTTTGGCCACGTTTTATCTAGTTAGTATTGACAAAAATGGCATTTCTCACAATTTCCTTATTACAGAGAGTAAATCTGTTTTCTTCTTAAATATGAACAACTTTTATAAGGGGATAAAAATAAAGTCTTATGAATCTCAAACTCATGTCTGACAAATAATGGAGAAACACAGAATAACTCTAGGAATTCTTTCATGATTGACAATGATTTCACAACCCTATCTGTAGTGAAATTATAGTATATTTAGCAAATATATTATTATGTAAAGAGTGAAGCAGAGCATTGTGATTACTTTTATAATCATAATGTGACTAATTGTCCTATTCTTTTAAAAATAGTTGACTTTTTGATATTACTGTAGCTTTATGGTTGGCATATTATGGGTTGAAGCTATTAACTACATGAAATCATTTTAAAAATCATGATAATCCATTTTAAATATTACTGATAATATTAAAGTGAGCACTTTTTATAGCACTTTTTTAAAAACCACCAATATAAATCACCAGAAACTTGAAATAAATATATATATATAGCAAGTAGAACATTATATATATATGTATATATATATTGGATGTATAATTAGAGCCAAGAAACCTATTGTAGCATGTTAGATTCTTTTGGGCCATTCATCTGTACCCTTATTGGGGGAATTTTCTGTTCAAATTTGCCTTTGAAATATGGTATTTATCTATAGCCAGATAAGACCATCACATGGATTGAAACACTTATCAAATCATAAAACTTCACTAAGAGTATATCTGAAAGAAAATTACCATCACTTTAACATAGGGATAAACAATATTTTTCATGGGAAGAATTATATTCTTGAGGAGAAAATATATTGATTGATTTTACAGGAATTCCAGTCCACTGAGAAAGGCACAATTGAGTTGAGAGAGAGATCAGTATTACTCCTGTTTTAATAAAGTGAGAGGAACTTATAGCTCTGGAGTTAATAGAGGAAAAAAAGATTGAGAAGGTCAATTAGACAATTCTATTCATTGAGTTTATTTGAGGACTTTAAAATGAAGTCATTATAAAACTCTGTAACATTTCCCCATGGATTTTGCTAACACATCTCCCCTAAATTTAAAAATAAATATGTCATTATGTGAGATACTAAATTATCAATCAAGGATGACTTTCTAATTCTGTTTGGTCCATTACAAAGTGAGACTACATGGAAATGACAGAAATCATTAAAAACAATGTGTTTTAGGAAAATCAAATTTCTACAGAGATCAGGCAGCCAAATTAAAAGTGGAAATCTGGCCAAATAAAAGAGTAGAAAACATTCAATAGCAGGGCTTGGGCCAGGCCTAATTCAGGAGTCCGGAAGTCCAACTGGGTTTCCCACATGGTTGTCAGGGGGCCAAGCTTTTGGATCATCCACTGATTCCCCAGCTCATTAATAGGCTGCTGGATTGGAAGTGGGGAAGTGGCATTCAAACCTGGGTAAACAAGGGATGACGATGTCACAGGCACAACTTATCTGTTGTGCCACAAGGCTGGCCTCACTTTTTCAATAGAAAAAGTGCGATAGAAACATAACTCTAAACAAAACATTTTAAGCTTTTATTAAAAATAAACAAACATTGCAATTATTCTTATACAAACATAGCATAAAGAGGCATTTTGATTTCTAACTATGGTACATTTAGAATGGTCCTATGATAAATAACATTTCCCTTTAATGTGTTAATAGATTAGTGCTTGTATGCTAATGTTCATTATTTTAATACTTTGTTGGCTCCTATAATAATCATAAACACTCTAATGCCAGCATTAACTATTATGCTAACTGAAATATAAGTTAATAGACACTCATTTATGATCAACTATAATCTTCGTAGATTTTTAGCACCATATGCTACTGTCAGCATTACATTATTTACTATTTATTGATTGTGTAATTTATTTTCTGAGCTTGTGAACAAGAATTGCCTTCTTCTTTAGGTAGTTTAATTTCAATTATCTAAATGGTTATGGTTGATCTACCAGAAAATATCTCCAGTCAACTCAGACATTATGTTTTTTTTTTCCCATTGATATGTCTTTTTATTTTTTTTTTTTATTTTTGATGTTCTAGAAGGGTAATCACATTACTGAATTGTCAAATTGTTACATAAGAACCAAATCTATGCATAATAAACTAGTACAAGACTAGAAAGGGGGTTTGTATCACACTTAACACTATCTAATATGCAGCATCTAAATCTACAATTTGCCATCAAACATTCTTACAATTAATCAATTCACTTACTTTCTAGACATAGAAATTGATGACTAAGGTGTTAAAAACAAAGCAACTTAATGCTGCATTAGTAAATATTTAAAACACTTCAGTATAAGACTTTTAAAAGATCGGAAGAACTCTAACGAAGTGTACAGATATTTCCCTAACAAGCTTCATCAGCTAAACCAACTAAATGTGAAAAATTCTTTTGCAAAGGAGATGTAATAGAGAGACAGAAACAGATTTTTTTTAAATGAGCAATTCTTTGATAATCTTTGAGGACCCATTGTTAGATATATAAATTTAAGGAAGTTGAACACAAATGTCCAAGAACAGAGTGTTAATTATGACTGGTCAAAAAAGGCTTAGAAGTTACCAATCAAATACTAATGTTCTAGTTCTCTCAACATGATTATAAGATGCAAAAATGACTCTCAAATATCACTGGTTACTTGTAAAACATTCATATTCTAAATTATATTTAACATTGGTAATGAAAAGTACATTTGAAAGTATGAATAAAATTCCTCAAAAAGAGTGCCATAAACATTGGCTGATTAGCCCATGTTAATTAGCATAAGGGAAAATTGTGTGTGTGTGTGTGTGTGTGTATGGAATTTAGAAAGCCCTTCAAATAAATTTTTAATTCTGAACACAATTTCCCCCAAAGCAAGGATTTCTACTACTTAACAAGAATAAAGGAATTTATAATTTTCTTTGAACTACATGCATATTTGTTGCTTATATTTCAAAGAGGAAAACACTTTTAGTTTCCAAAGTGGTTTTAATTGGCAGTCACTTTTTTGAATAGTATTGGTGTGCTTTTACTTTAAATTTTTATCACTTTTTAATGAGTTTGTTATTTACATGAAAGAGAGTTAGAAAGAGGGAGGGAGACAGCTTCCACAAGCTGGTTCACTCCCTAAATGGCTACAGGGGCCAGAGCTTGGCCAGGTTGAATCCAGAAGCCTGGAGCTCCAACTGGGTCTCCCCCATGGATACCAGGAGCCCAAGCCCTTGGCCATCTCCCACTGCTTTGCCAGGCAAATTCGCTGGGAGCCGGATCATTAATAGAGCAGCCAGGACTTGAACTAGAGCTCACGAGGGATGCCTGAAGCACGGGTGTCACTTAACTCACTGCAACACAATGCCAGCCCCGGTAGCTTTAAAAATTCGCAAACTCTAGGAATCTGCCATCTTGCCTGTAAGAACAGCTCTGAGTAATTCATTTTTGATTTGGTGGTTATCAATACATAAATCAAGAAAAGATAAGCTATACAAATAATCACATTTGAAACATTTCTTAGTATTCTCTATATACTTTATGCCTCATAAAATAATTCATCAAAAGTCAGGACTTTTCATTACATAATTTGTGTGCTCTAAATTTAAAATAAAAGATGACTAAATTATTAAGTTGGACTTCACTGAAATGAAAAACATCTGTTCTTAAGAAATCAGAAAAACTCAAGCTAACAATGTAAAGATACTACTTTCAAATTTCATATCTGATAAAGAACTTATAAACAAAGTACTTAAAGAATTCTGAAATTTCAAGAAATAAATGGATCAACAAACTGTGTTCCATCCATTCAATGGGGTGTTATTTACAGATAAAAAGAAATGAGCTGGTGCTGGCGCTGTGGCATAGTAGGCTAAGCCTCTGCCTGCAAGGCCACCATCCCATATGGCACCAGTTCGTGTCCTGGATGCTCTTCTTCCCAGCCAGCTCTCTGCTTATGGCCTGGGAAAGCAGCGGAAGATGGCCTTAGTGCTTGGGTTCCCATACCTGTGTGGGAGATCTGGAAGAAGCTCCTAGCTCCTGGCTTTAGGTTGGCCCAGCTCCAGCCTTTATGGCCATTTGGGGAGTGAACCAGCAGATGCAAGACCTTTCTCTCTGTCTTTCCCTCTCAAAGAAATTGATAAAATCTTTAAAAAAAAAAGAAAAGAAAGAAATGAGCTATAAAGCTACAAAAATACATGAAGGAAATTTAAATGCAAATTATTTAGTGAACAAAGCCAATCTCAAAAGCTTACATCCTGTAAAGAATGCAAGTATACCATATACCAGAAAAGGCAAAACTATGGAGACGAGAATTTTTAGGCAGTGAAACCAGCTTAAGGAACTCTGAAATTATAAATTTGCTGAAGTCCATTGGATATACAAAGCAGAGCATAATCAAATGTAAAGTATTGTGAGTAGTATTTATGTTTCAACATTAGACAAACTCAGTTATCAATAGCACATACAACATACATCCCACACTGAAGGAAGATATTAGTAATAGAGGGAACTCTGGGATGAGGGGAAGTGGCACTATATGGGAAATCTCTGTATTTTCTTTTTATTTTTTTAACCCACTGTGCTGTGCGCTGTGGCACAGTGGGTTAAACTCCTGGTCTGAAGTGCCAGCATCCCACATGGGCACCGGTTCTAGTCCCAGTTGCTCCTCTCCCAATCCACCTTTCTGCAATGGCCTGGGAAAGCAGTGGAAGATGGCCCAAGTCCTTGGGCCCCTGCACCCGCATGGGAGACCTGGAAGAAGCTCCTGGCTCCTGGCTTCAGATCGGCGCAGCTCCAGCCATTGCGGCCATCTGGGGAGTGAAGAAGCAGATGGAAGACCTCTCTCTCTGTCTCTACCTCTCTCTCTAACTGTGTCTTGCAAATAAATAAAAATAAATCTTTAAAAAAATTCAAACATTTCTAAGAAATAAAGTCTATCAATTTTGTTAAAACCTCCCCAAAGGGAAGAAGGTAAAGACTAATCCCTGATTTTATTTTATGTTCATTTTATCAATTTTTTTGGCCCAATATTTAAAGTGCATTGTTGTTCACATCATCTATCAATCATAACTGACAGCAGTGGAATTTAAGTCTTCATTACTTTTTTTTACGTTTTCTATTAGCCCTTAAGAATTTAGTTATGTTTGGACAGGTGTGTGGAATGGTAGTTAATACATAATTGGTGGGGCTGGCACTATGGCGCAGCAGGTTAAAGCCCTGGCCTGAAGCGCTGGCATCCCATATGGGCACCGGTTCAAGTCCTGGCTGCTCCACTTCCAATCGAGCTCTCTGCTATGGCCTGGAAAAGCAGTGGAAGATGGCCCAAGTCCTTGGGCCCCTGCACCTGTGTGGGAGACCCAGAAGAAGCTCCTGGCTCCTGGCTTTGGATTGGCTCAGATCTGGCCGTTGTGGCCAATTGAGGAGTGAGCCATCGGATGAAAGACCTCTCTCCTCTCTCTCTGCCTCTCTCTCTGTGTAACTCTGACTTTAAAGTAAATAAATAAAAAAATAAAAATCTTTTTAAAAAAATACATAATTGGTAACACTCAGCCCATGTTGAAGTGCCTGGATTTGAGTCGCCGCTCCACTCTTAATTCCAGCTGCCTGCTAATATGCACTCCAGGAGACAGCAATGGTAGATTAACACTTGGGTCCCAGCCACCCACTTGGGAGATCTGGATTGGGTTCCTGTACTCTTGACTTTGTCAAGCCCAGGCTGTTGCAGGGATCTGATGAGTGAACCAGCAAATGGAAGCTTCCTCTCTATCTTTCTCTCCTCTTCTCTCCATTGCCTTTCAATAAATAAATAAATTCTTTAAAAGTATTTTACTACATTTTTATCTACTCATTTTATTTGTCTGGTGACTTCATTTAGTAATCTTTTAGATTTTAATGACAGAAAAAAATGAAAAGTTTAATAAAAATAGTTGACTTTTTTTTTTTCAATTCTTTCTGAATCTCCACTGCCAAGGCATTCACTTTAACATGCCTGATGTAAGTGCTCAAGTTCACATTAACCTGATAGCGTGATGTCTGATGGGAAATAACCACAGTCTCTGTCCATGACTTTAATACTTCACAAGCCGTAGAATCTGATCAGACCAAGTCCTGAGCTTGAATGTCATCTTTAATATATGATGTCATTTTTGTAAAAAAACTGGCTATTATTTCTTCGGTTACATCCTTCACAACTTAAGGGCTGTGCGTTAGCTGCATGTTATTACCAAACAAACGATCACAAATGCAGATGGACACATACTCATCTATCACCTTACAGTTTACAAATGAGCCTGGGCACGGCTCAGCCAATGCTCTCAAGATCCAAGAAAACTGTGGCTGAGATGGCAGCCAGCTCATCATATGCCCACAGGTCGTGTCACTGAATTCATCTCCTTGTGGGGATAGGAAGTTTTAGGTCCCTATTTTCTCCCTGGACATTGATCGAGGGCCACCACACTTGTCTCAGGAGTTACCAGCACTTTCTGTTGTTGTTTTTTCGTTCTGTAATTATTCACGACTGGGCTGCTTGCCTTTTCAGGATCAACAGGAAAGTCTCCCTCCTGAGTCTTGAAGGCAGAGTCTTCAGCTTCAGATCAGAACCAAGGCAGTGATGACCTCTCACCTTTGCCAGGAATGTGACCTCCTCTGTTACTGTGGGTGTGTCCAGCCCAGTAGATTTCAAAGAACACAGACGCTTCTCAACTTACTTGGGGTTAATCTTGATGCATCCACCTTAAGATAGAAATACTATAGATCAAAAGTGCTTTTAACGTACTTAGCTACCACACACCATAACTTAACACAGTGCCCTACTAAGTATCATAGTTCACTCCCCTGATTGGCACTGGCATGAGCTGCAGCTCACTGCTGCTCCCAGAACTGAGAGAAAGGGTCCGCATATGAGCCTGGAAAATATCAGAATTCAGAAAATAGAAACACAGTCTCTATTGAGTGTACTGCTTCCCCACCATCTAGTTGAAAAGTCCTAAATCCAAATCTTGATAAGTTGGAGGCCACGTATTATACTTAGATAAACCTGAAATCCACTGTTCACATTAGAGCATTCCAATGGTTTTAAAAATCATATTCACTCTTTTCAAGGATGTGTTTATTTAGTATTTTTAATATGTTTTAAAATTCATCAAAATTTAAGTATCACCTTTTCAGTACTTCTCCTTTGGGAGGCAATAAATAAACATCGGGTTTAGTGATGATTTTAAAACCACATCCCAAATGCCAAAATCAAGTCTGATTAAATAACATATCTTCTAATGATGATGCAAATTGTCAACATCACAGTATTTATTGAGCTTATTTCTGCTTTTTATATGTAATTAAATCACTGTCATTATATATAATAAGCATATTAAAAATATTGATATCAAAATAGTCTTAATTATTTCATATGAAAATTTTACTATCATTTTATTGGTGGTGCTTCCATATTGATGAGATGTAACTGTAAAAAATTGTTGGTGGTGCTTCTATGTTGATCAGATGAGATACAACTGCAAAAAATTTAGTGATTTGCTTTGCTTTCCTGTTAGAATAAGAATAAACTGCTTTTATAGCATAATGTGTTTCACTTTCAAGTCATTGTCATTTGCTACTATTGCTAGCTGGTCTTTATTTTGGTGCATACATTTCTCAAATGGTTCCATTTTTTAGTTGATGCCATCACTTTATTTTTTAGCACATTCCTTTTTGACAATACTGTTGTATTGGATTTTTGAAATGTATTTTAGCTACTGTTAATATAAAGAGAACAGAATGCATGTCTCTGGGCTTCGGTGGTCACTGCTGACTCCTAGCACATTATCTCTGGATGGTTTCCCTTCTGAGCCCATCTCCTGGATCACATCACCATCTAGATGTGTTTCCTACATTGAATATTTGGTCAATAATAAAAAAGCAAAGCATATTATTTTTCTAGATTGTCTATTTACCACTATCTAATTCTCAACTGAGCATAAATCTTGATCAAGAAGGGAAAATCCTCATTTTGTGTAAATTTATCATTTTAAAAAAAGGCTTAAAAATCTCTGGACTCCTAATTCTAACGCTGGAGTTTCATAAGTTTTTTGGACTGAATGTCTTCTATCATGTGTTTATTTTTATAGTTAAAGTATTTTCTCTCAATTATCTCACAGTATCTCCTCACATAAATCTATGTTGGAATTTTTCAACTAAAAATCAGGAAATTAGCATTTACAACTTTTTTATTAACCACAATGTCTTCTTACCTATTTATGGCTTAATACTTTAAAAAGTATCCATCTTTAAAAGATAATTTATTGAGTTACCATTTATTTTCTAAAAGTTTAGAAATTGAATATTCATATATGGAAACATAATTTTTATATTCATTAAGATTTACTTTATTTACTGAACGGCAGAGTGAAAGAGACAAAGGCAGAGAGAAAGACATTTTCCATCTACTGGTTCACTCCTCAAATGGCCAAAACAAGAATGGGCCAGATTGAAGTCGGGAGCCAGGAACTCCATCCTGGTCTCCTACATGGGTAGCAGAGGTCCAAGGACCCAGGCCATCCTCCGTGCTGTTCCAGGCAGATCAGCAGGGAGCTGGATCAGCAGAGGAGCAGCCAAGACTCAAACTGGGGCTCAAATGTGTGATGCCACTGTTGAAAGTGGCTGCTTAAACCACTGCACCCAATGTCAATCCTACTTTTCATTTTTTGATCATGTTCCATTTATAAGAGTCATTTCCATCACTTTACATCATTAAAGAAAAAATGAGTATATAAAGTGTTCCATCGTCTACATGTGTAGGTATCTGAGCTATCAGAACAGTGATTTCTTTTCTTGAAATAATTGTCAGTTCTTTCCTCCTAAAGAGAGGCAGTGTTCATATATGGCGGTTTTCTTCATGGCAAACTGTATGATCATGCAAGAAGACAGGGACTGGGCTAACCAGAGGATAAAGACGAGCAAAGATCACAGGGGCCTCAGCTACTCTGAGAGGAGGGAATTGATATGGTCCACACTCCCTAGAAGCCAAGTTTCAATCAGCAGCCTGGAGGGCACTCACGTATGTGAAGTTTAGAGACCAGTGGAACACTTAACCCAATGGGATCAAGGAAATCAAACCAGGGAGAATGAATGACAGTTAACTCTCCTCCAAAGGTCAGCATTAATCTAGGGATACTGTTTCACCTTAATCCACAACAACATGTAATTCATACAATTCTTACCTAAACCCAGAAACTCTTTCAAATAAAGAATAATAGAGATTATCCAATAAAATGAGCAGTTCTGTAAAAGCTCAAAAAGTGTTTTCAATAAAGAATATAATAAAAATTTTCATATTAAATCAACTTGTAATTTTATAATATTCTTAGCATTTCCAGCATTTCCTCAAATTTTAAATTCAATTTATTGAAGTGAAATGATTGAGATGTACTCTTCTTCTAGTGATTATGTAAATAACTTATTTTTAAAAGAGAAGGAAGTATTAGAGAAATAAAGAATTGATTCAAATCCCAATTCAGCCTTTTATAAATAACTGAACAAAGATTTTCAAGCAACCAAATTCATTTATTTAATCTTTTTCTATAAAAGACTGCCTCTCAAAATGAGCAGTATGAAATGGTATGTGATTATGTTTTAGGATTAACATATGCAAAAACAAAATTTATTTTTGCTTACTTATCTTTGCTTTCAAGCAACATATATATTTGTGAGGATTAAATGAAATGAAAAGCTGAAACATCACATTTATAATTAAGGTAACATTTTCTAGAACACAAAAAAAAGATTCAGATATATGGTTCCTATGTTGTGACTAAGAACGGAGCTGTATTTCTGTTGATTCATTGAGTTTTCAGAATTTATTGTATGCCACCCAGTGCTAGGCAATGTGCTAGGCGCTGATTTGAATTTGGTCTTTATTTTTCATTACATATATTTTCTTTGGCCTCCAAAATTTATAGCAGGACACAAAAATGCCATTACTTGATTTCAATGAAATAAAACATTCGACAGAACCATGAACCAGTAATGAGAGGAAAATCCCTCTCTATATTACACAGGAAATGTATGACACATTTATTCAGCCTGATGAAAACGCTTACAGCAAATTTACACATTTCCTTAGCATCTGCAAATTCAGCAGTTTCTATTTGACATCCTCTAATTTACAAAAAGAGTGTAGTCATGACAAAGAAATAAAATGAAGATTGTTCATTTTCAGGTAATAGAGCATATTTTACTGCTAACATGTCACTCAAAGTCATGTAATTACTGTATCCAGTGAATCTGATCTTTCACTAAGATACTTTTCTATTCTCTAAGTAGAAACAATTTTCAGAATTATGTTTTTCTTTTTTATTATTTATCTGAAAGGCAGAGTTACAGAGGCAGAGAGAGAGGTCTTCTGTCCGCTGGTTCACTCCCCTGATGGCTGCAATGGCCAGAGCTGAGCCGATTCAAAGCCAGGAGCCAGGAGCCAGGAGCTTCCTCCAGGTCTCCCATGTGGGTACAGGAGCCCAAGGACTTGTGCCATCTTCTACTGCCATAGCAGAGAGCTAGACAGAAAGTGGAGCAGCTGGGTCTTGATTGGCACCCATATGGAATGTCGGCCCTGCAAGCGGTGGCTTTACCTGTTACTCCACAGCTCTGGCCCCCAGAATTTTGTTTTGATTCTCAATAAACTTTGCACTGTCATTGGCATAAACCAATTTGGAAAATAATATATTTTATGAAACACAGTGTACAACTTTCATAATGTAGTATAATTCTATTACAAGTCAATTTGAGGATCAATATTCAAGAAGTTCTTTTTAAAATGTATCATCTAATTAAAGTTACAGCTATTTTCATATTACATTTCTCCCTTTAAAATAACATTATTTTAAAGTGGTGCTGTGGCACAGTAGGTTAATCCTCCACCTGCAGTGCCCGCATCCCATATGTGCGCTGGTTCTAGTCCCAGCTGCTCCAATTCTCATCCAGCTCTCTGCTATGTCCTGGGAAAGCAGTAGAAGATGGCCCAAGTCCTTGGGCCCCTGCACCCATGTGGCAGACCTGGAAGAAGCTCCTGGCTTCGGATCAGCACAGCTCCCTCCATTTCTGCCAATTAGGGAGTGAAGCAGCGGATGGAAGACCTCTGTCTCTCTGCCTCTCCTTCTGACTTTCAAATAAATAAATCTTAAAAGTAAAAAACACCTCACAAAGGACATGATTAGACATTTATCAAAAAAAATTACAAAAGTTCACCACGTATATGAAAGGTTATTCATATCAATGATCAGAAAATTCAAATTAAAGCCACAATGAAATAGCACAACTCACATCTGTTAGGATGGCTATTATTTAAAGATATAGATAACATGTACTGAGGAGGGTATGGATAAATCAGAACACAGATATAATTGCTGAAAATACTAAATGGTGAAGAAAACCATGTGGAAGTTCCTCAAAATATTAAACATGGAACTATGTTATCCTCAAGTAAACCTGCTTCTGGGTATATACTCAAAAGAACTGAAATTATGAGCTTAAGGCTAATGAACGCCAAAGTTCGTTGGAGCATAATTCACAATAGCCAATACATGGAAAATTCCAAGAATAGATGAACAAATAAAAGAATTATATATCAACATATATAATATATATCAACAAAACAATATTATTTAGCCTAATCTTAAGAAATAAGGAAACTATTCCATTGACAACAACTTGGATGGCCTAGACATTATGCTCTGTAAAATAAG